TATATAGCACTTTTTTCCCCTAAATTATTCAAGTAAGCACATTAGTCTCCTCAATTATTCTAAAAATGGCAATTTCCCCCCCTGATATATTAAATTGACATTTATACCCTTAAATTAAACATTTTATTTATTTTTCTTCTCCAACAAAGTATTGCATATACATAAGGATGACCATTGTTCGATTCGAACTGAACCGAACACTATAGCAATCGAATTAAAAGTTTACGGTTATGATTCAGATCCAAAACTCAATATTTGGATTTCAATTTATTAAAATTATGAATCGGAAAAATTGGATCTTGAACCGTGAACCGGCGGTTCCAAATCCGGTTCGCGATTTTGAACCATCTTTATTTTAAAATTTTATTTTTATTTTAAAATAGTCTAAATTCAATAATAAATGTATTTTATTTTTCAGTTCGAAGCATGAACTGGCCGTTTCGGTTCGTGATTTTAATAAACTCTAAATATCAGGTTATGATTCTAAATTGTAATTGGAATATTTCGGTTTGGTTGCTTTATTGTCTGTTTGGTTTGAACCAAATTGTGGTCATAATTTGTTGGAGAAGAAAAATAAATGAAATATTTATTTTTAAGGGTAAATATGTCTATTTAACATTTCAGGGGGAAAACAACCACTTGAATAATTCAGGGGAGAAAAATGCTATAAGTATATAACTCGAGGGGGGGGGGGGGGGGGGGGGAATGTTATTTTTCCTATATTGTATATATACCCATCACCTCCCCTGTCTTCTTAAAAACCAGAGTAATGAATGAGGAACCTAAGACTCAATTATGAAAATTCTAAAAACTTTTGTAACTTCTAAAAATGATTATTGATTGTCGCATATGAAAAATTTTTACATACTAAAAATCTCAAGTTATTCCGTTGGTGAATTTCTCATAAAAGCAACGTGTTAAATTTGAAATCATTTTGTATCTCAAAAGTTCTGGTTTGATTACCTTTGTTGCTTAGTAAAGAAAATTGGAAATTGATAAGATGGTGTGTTTCACACGTTTGAAGACAATGATCAAGTGTTTTTTTATTTGTGCTAAGTCTTAAATTTGTTATATGAGAGCCAGGTTCCTAACAAGTCATACTAAAGTTATTGAAGCTTTTAGAATTGAACAATCTTGAAATAAGAGGCTAAGAAGTGAAAAATAATGTTGTGAAGGTGATTTTAATATAAAAGGGAGAATAAATGTGAATTTCCTACTTTACCCGTCAAATTTTAAATATTTTTAACTTTTTTTCGTCAGTTTTAATGGTCGGTGACCAAATGCGCCACTTCGTTCATAACTGAGGGACTAAAAATGGATACGGTCATAACTCATGGACTAAGTAGGAACTTGCGTATAACTCAAGGACCACAGATGCCATTTTCCCTAAATAAAATCTCCAAAGTTACAGCACTGCATGTGTATATCTACACATTAGCTATTAACTTGAGTAATTATGTTGGTCCCGATAGGGTGGTAGAAAGTCTACAGGGGGAGGGGGGGGGGGGGTGAATAGACTTTCTAAACTTTTTTCACAATTAAATAACTCTTTGGTAACTACAACTATAAGTAATAAGTAAATAGAGAAGAGTTTAACTTGAACTGCACAGCGGAATAAATATGTGTAAGAGTTATGCCAAATCAATAAATTGAATCACATGCACATGTAAGATAAGCTCAGATGATGTGTAAGGATGACATGAATATCTTGAATATTTAAAGGAGATGGTGCACTCAATATTTAACAATAATATTCAAGATTATAAATAAGACTTCGTGTCACGTCAGCCGTATGATAAATGTCACATGCAACACGTCAAACATGCTTAGAATAATTCAAATGTTAAGCATAGAAAGTTTGAGTTACATGCATACGTGAGAACACACTAAACACGAAAGATTAAGATTAATAGTGAATAGTAAACAGGTTAGTCAAATAAGATAAATAGATAAAGCGAATTATGTAAGTGCGGTATGTAAATGAGAGAGGCAATTTATAGTGGTTCGGAAGTGGCGTAATCTTCCTATTCCACTTTACTCCATTCACTTTTAGGAGTAACTCACTATTTTCCACACACAGTTACAATAGTGAATAAGCGTTACACAAGCACTTCTTCCGGATGTCTTGCACACAGCTACACCCAACTCTGAGTATCTCGCACACAGCTACACTCAACTCCGAGTATTTTGCACACAGCTATACTCAAACGCCAACTAAGTGTTTTGCACACAGCTACACTAGCAACTACGAGTGTTTTGCACACAGCTACACTCACTAGAGTATTTTGCACACAGCTATACTCTTTTTACAATTACAAATACAAAGGTAATTGTATATCTCTCCAACTAATTTTGAGACTATTCAGACTAAGTCTCTCTTCTAGATATTTCAATGAATATTTGAGCACTTGTATTTCTAGAATTCGCACTTGTTCATCCGTTGTGTTCTCTTCTCTTGTGTTGTTTTTTCTTCAAGTTTTCATGGTCTTTTTATAGATAATCAAATATATCCATTGGAGTGGGATATTTTGATATTTGAAGTTTGAATCTTGTAGCCTGATATTGTTGACAATGGTGGGTCTTCAATTTGATTTGATTGTCAACTTGACTAACAAGATAATATTTTATTTCAACTTGATTTTCAAGTTGTTTCTAAAATATTATTTTCCTTGTCTATTTTGAAGTTCCAACGTCTCTTTGCAATAAGTTCTTCTGATAGAATTTATTTCTAGGATAAGATTTTTTATCCATGCCTTCATAAATTTTCCACCGTTTTGATCATATTTTCTGGTCATATTGCTTCTTTGTCACATCTTGCTCTTTTTAGACGTATTGTGCTTTTTAAAAATCTGATCTTGCTTGTTTGACTTGGCACTTCTTGCTTCTTTGACTTGCTACATCGTGCTTTTCTGATTTGGTCACATTGTGCTCTTTTCGCTTCTTGCTTCTTTGACTTCAACACATTGTGCTTGTTTGACTTGAGGGATTGTGCTTCTTTTTGAGACATTGTGCTTCTTCTTGAAACATTGTGCTTCTTTCTGAAATCCGGCTTATAAAAAATAAATCCTTAGGGGGGAATCAATCTTGGGTGTGATTGTTGTATGTAAGGACTTCTACAATTTTGCCGTTAAACTCATCCAATCATTCTTTGTAACGCCATTGTTTAGTACTTCTGTTCCAGATGAATACTTGTAGGACCAAAATTAATTCTCCAAATTAATTTTGTTCTTCATGTGGTAGACTTTCCTTTGCATACTCATTTTGACATTCTGATATATGATGCTTGTACTAAAGACCTAAATTCTAAGGGGATCTAAAGTTCATTTGGCTCATCAAAACTTTATTACAAAAATATTCCTATCAAATTATTTGCTCAAATTCAAGCAATGATAACATCAAAACACATAAATGATCCAAACCACTATATAATATTTGATGTTCTAATTTAAATAATTATATATTGATCCAAATATTCTTAATATATTACAACAAATCCATTTCGTGTATCGCACTGGCGAAAATACTAGTTAATTCAAATAATAGAATAATCTGTCGAGGGAAGGGATCAGGTGCGGGTGGACTTACATTAAGCATTACACTGGCTCACTTTAAGTACACACCATAAGCAAATTAAACACACAAACAGAATATATTTAGAACACAAATTCACGTACCTTAAGCACAAAAGTCACGCATCTTAAGCACAACCCTCACACACCTTAAGTACAAAACTCACACACCTTAAGCACAAAAGCACATGCACCTTAAGTTTTAACAACAACTCACATTAAGTACACACTCACGCACATTAAGTACAAAACTCACGCACCTTAAGCACAAGACTCAAGCACCTTAAACACAAAACTCACGCACATTAAGCACAAAAATCATGCAGTTTAAAGTTTCAATAACAACTCACATTAAGTACACACTCACGCACATTAAACACAAAACTCACGCACCTTATGCACAAGACTCACGCACCTTAAGTACAAAATTCATGCACATTAAGCATTACACACTCACGCACATTAAGCACAAATCTCATGTACCTTAAGCACAAGACTCACGCACATTAAGTACAAAACTCACGCATATATTAATCACCCGCATAACCGCACGGGAGACATTACCCCGCATTGGAACTTAATTCAATCCGTCGATACATCTTTTGTTTCTTTTCGATGTTTTTATTCCGCATGAAAGATGTCACAACATGCCATTTGAGCACAAGATGCTTGGCAGTTAGTTATTAACTTTAAAATTGTTGAAATATAATTTTTGCAACTTTTGCACGGATTTCAATCCTCATTTCACTCCAATAATTATATAAATTCATTATTTCATGCTACTTTTAAAAAAATTATGACTATGTTAAAGTAATTTAATGTGATTACTTTATTAATTCTGAATTGTGAATTGGATTAATTGACTCTACTATAAATTATGTCATGTTATGATTTTTCGATGTGTAAAAAAGTTAATAAAAATGATATTTGAGTGACTACTTTGAGGAATTAATTTGACAAGGATTCATTCATTATTTGGGGTGAATTAAAGTAGATTTTGATTCTCTTAAGTAAAGGGCTAAATTTCATATATTACGATTAAAATGTATAATGGTAAATTACAATTTGATTTTTTAAGTATACCTATGAAATTATTGAAATAGAGATTTTTTTTTTTGAATGCTACTGACTCTATTACATGGTATATGTTCATATACTTTCTCAACCTACTGAAACACACCTCAAAAGAGGCTTGAACTCACAACCTTCGAAATGGAAGTCCAACCCGGGTACCATTAGACCACATAGTCTTGGAATAGAGATTTAAAAGGCTTTGAATAAGTATTTGTCTCACATTAAAAGTTTGAGTGTACTTTATATTGTTGCACTTTATTATGTTGTTAAGTGTACTCCACAGTCACCACCTTTGTATATATATGATATGATGTATCCATCTTGTAATAATCAAGCTTCATAATTATATTCCAATGTTCTCTCTTTCACACATCTCTCAGTCATCTTCTCTGCAACTGATGGCAGTAGTGACAAGGAAAAGTCGAAGAGGCCATCAGACCAACCACCAAAGTACAAAACCCTTACAGACCAAGGCAAAATCGAAGACCAAAACCACAATGAAGTTAACCCCAAAATCGAAGACATCCTCCGATCTCTTCAAGCGTCTCTCCGAGGCTGAAGCCCTTGTTGTTATGGTACACTCTGCTTTCCAGATCGTTGAATTTTTTTTACGGTTTTTGTCGCGATCGGAACTGCATTATGTATAGTTTCACACTCTTCACTTTTCTGAATTACTGTATTCTTCAAACGCGAAATAGTTTTTCGTAATTTAGATTTCCATTTGTGGAAATTTTGTTTATGTTTTGACTGAATTTCATCTGAAATTCTAAATTTATATGCTCTTCTGGTCCAAACTGTTGATTAGGTACTATTAATGGAGGAGATTGCGCATTGTCACCGGCTCGGCGTGGCTCACTGGGACTGTAACACCCCTAGTACTAAACGGTGTCGTTTTACCTTCTAATTGTTGCTAGGTTGTTACTTGATATTTTAGGAGAGAATAATTATGTTATTAGGGATTTCTTCTAGCATAATAGAGGTAGATTGTATGGGAAGGATATGCTTGGATTAATCAGATATCACTTTTCTCGCAAATCTCTCTCTACTTCTCTCCCTATTCTCTCTCTCTCCCTCTGCATTTCTTCTTCTTCTTCCCCAAACTCTCTATTCTCTGTATCTCTCCCCCTTCCTCTTTTATTTCCTCTTCTATTTCCCTTCTATTTCCTTATCAATTTCTAAGATTCATTACAAATGGTATCAGAGCCCACATCCGTGGGAACTCAAAACACCACCTCCATGGGAGCTCGAATGGACAAGGTGGAATCTGAGATGGTAGAGCTGAGACGCTTAATGGATACGCGATTTCAAGCTTTTCAGGAGCAATTAAAGGTTAAGCTGTCCAATTTCAGAGACGAGATACTGGAGGCTTTGGGACTGGATAGATCTGCTCTACCGGTGAAGAATCTCGAACAGCGAGGCTCCATAGTTCAGGTATCCTTAATGGCTTCCCCTCCTACACAGCTAGTGCCACTTGAGGCCGACGGAAGCAATAGGTTGCCTCCTCTGGTTCCGGAGGAAATAGGGAACGTCGTCGGAGAATCTGAATCGCTAAAGAAAAATCAAGAGGTTGATGATCAGTTCCCTCCACAACCGGAGCAATTTGGAGCCGACATAAACGATAGATCTCCTCCCCTGGTTCTGGATGATGGATCAAGGGCCTTCGCTGGAGATTCTGAATTGCTAAAAACAAACCAGGAGGTTGAGGTAAGTGAAGTTGCTGCTCCTTGCTTAGTTGATAATGGCATGAGTTATGATAGTCTACCACCTCTTGATAATTTGGAGGAACTTAGTGATGTCAAGGAAGAAATTGATGTTGAATTTACTGCTAAAAATTGATGTTGCAATGCTAAGTAAACAGAAGAAATTCCCCTATCTCTGGTGTTTCTCTATGCCACGTGGGTTATATGGTTCATGTTTGGGAATGCTAAATATGAGGTGTTTATCTATTGTGTTTGATCTTGATGAGATGCTCATTGTTGCTAATACAATGTGGTCATCAGAGAATAGGATTGAGGCTTTGCGAGGTTGGACTACACGGGAGACAGATGCAATTTGGGTGTTAGGTATATCAGCAGAGATGAAGAGATACACTGAGGATAGGGTATTACTAAAGCAGTACATAGAGGGTGACTATGTTGTGGTTGGGTTGGCTCTTGTAGTTGAGGGACAAATTGTTTTAGGAGTTATGGGCTGCCCAAACTAGAAGGAATACAATTCAGACAATTCCTCAGCTGGATACAAGGATTATGAAACAACGCCTATGACATCAGGAATCATAATGGTTTCTCATTTGGGATGTGGAACATGGAGAAAGATGTTACGAAACACACAGAGTGGTGAATTGTCTAATAACTGGACTAGATGCTCTGTTGATGAGTGCCAATTAGTTCAGGATGCAAGCTTTTGCATTCTAGAATCTCAAACATGGAAGTTAATACCCCTATCAGCTTTATTTAATGCAAAAAATCAGGCTGAACAAGTTGGAGAAGGAGACATTCTTCTTTTGTCTGCTTGCTGTGGAAGCTTGTGTAAATATTTGATGGTGACTTCAGGAAGGCCATCAGTTTTTATTATCCATGTGAAGACTGGAAAACTTATCAGGAAATGGGATCATACTGTAGGAGTCATATGCATCCAGGAAGCTGGTGGAAAGGTGAGTGACTGGACAGGGAGTGATATTGATTTTGCAGAAGTGGAAATGGAATGGGATGTCTCCTATGGCAATCCTAGAATGCAAGGGTGGAGTGAATTTGTTTTTGTTTTTGATCCAAAAGGAATTGTACAGGAACTTGCCAAATCAAAAGCACCCTTGAAGATGTTGGAGTCGATTATTCTGAATTTGGAAAAGGGAAAAAGGGGTACTGGTTTTAGGCGTGATTATGGGAAGATGAACACATTATTTTCTGTCTTAATTGTAATGGTAGCATTGTGGATGAAGTTGACACCCCCATCAGAATACCAGAAGCTTCTTGAGGCTGCTGAAGTGATTGTTACAAGTGTTGGGGGAGCAGGGACTCTAATTGGTGATGTTACTACTACTACTATGCTTTGGATCCTAATGGATGCAATTCACTATGGTGAATCTGAAAGACAACAACTGAAAATATCACAAGCTCCGTCATGCATTGGCACTCATGGAGTTCTGAATGCAAGAGAAATAAAAATGGTTGGGAGTGTTCTGCATGAATGGAAATATGCTGATGTTTTCTGTGGAAATCCAAAAATTCAAAGGTGCATTAAATTTCCCTTCGATCCAGGTGGAATTCTGCGGAGTACTCTACAGCTTGTGGGGTGCAAATCGATACATGCCTTAAGATTAGCCAAAGGGTTTTGGAGAAGGGGAGAAACAAGTCTCTGAGTGTCAGTTTGGGTTTAGTCTATGCATACAAATCAAAGCAGAATACCTTAAATAATCTACTAAGGCCTTCAATTTACCATGCTAAGAGCTATTTAAATCCAATAGCAGTTGCTGGGACTAAGACAAAAACAAATGGCAGTTGAGGGGTTTAAGGCATAGTGGGTTTGGAAGCTTTGAAAGAGGTCAAGTCCGAACATGCCACTGTGATTCCAAAAGGAAATAAAACCTCCAGGTTATCTGATAAGGATGTTGTGGTTCCCATGAATATTGCTGCATTCGCCAACAGAAGTAGCTCGACACTTGGTGGGAAGCTCATCCGTTCGCGAAACAAGCACCCACAGATTAGTAATGTCATCTACAAAGACACCACAAACTGTACCAGCAAATTTGAATGTTGTTCTGACTGATAGCCAACAAACCGTGCCATTGTTGAGCTTGAACCAAAGGAGCTGCTACATGGGGATGATTGTCACCACGTCACGAACCCGCTTCCCTTTTTTTATCCTTGGGGACAAGGATCTTTAGAGGGGAAGGTATTGTAACACCCCTAGTAATAAACGGTGTCGTTTTACCTTATAATTGTTGCTAGGTTGTTACTTGATATTTTAGGAGAGAATAATTCTGTTATTAGGGATTTCTTCTAGCATAATGGAGGTAGATTGTATGGGAAGGATATGCTTGGATTAATCAGATATCACTTTTCTCGCAAATCTCTCTCTACTTCTCTCCCTATTCTCTCTCTCTCCCTCTGCATTTCTTCTTCTTCTTCCCCAAACTCTCTGTTCTCTGTATCTCTCCCCCTTCCTCGTCTATTTCCTCTTCTATTTCCCCTTCTATTTCCTTATCAATTTCTAAGATTCATTACAGGGACATCAAGCCGGACAGCGTTCTGTTCAATGAGTGGGACGAGCTGAAGCTAGCCGACTTCGGCTCCACTGAGAGCGAGCTGATGAGCGGAGTGGTGGGGACGCCATACTACGTCGCGCCGAAGGTGTTAGCCGGCAGGGACTACTTGGAGGTTGAAACCGGTGCTATTCTGTACATAATGCTGGCCGGAGTCCTGCCTTTTTATGGGGACTCAGCGGAGGAAAAGAGCCAATCTCAGGTTTCTGGCGAGGATTTTCAACTCTGTATCGCCAGCGGGTAAGGATCTGCTCCGGCGAGTTTTCTGTAAAGACATCTCTAGAAGATTCTCGGCTGAGCAAGTGCTGAGTAAGTACATCTACAATTTACATTTTACTTTGATTCCGCATATAACTTCTTCTAGTGGGTGGTTTGGATTTATAGCTGGAAAAGTTTTCTTTTCACCTAACAAACAAAAATTACCATAAACTTAATTAGCTTGTTTTTATTTTTCTGAAGATAAAAATTTTTAAAATGTTATACAGTAGTTAATTTTGCCATTTATTATTTTCCATCTCTTGTTCTTTTCTGCAATAAAGTGAACATTTTGTTGAAGGAATTACATTGTTCTTGGCCAAATGGCCAGTATTGCTGTCATATATATTGCAAATTTTACCCTTTATTTCATTAAAGAAAGCTTTGGTCTTTTGCTGATATATATGTGTGATTTCTGAAAATTGTGTCATGTTTTGGCAGCACGATGTTCATTCTTAAAGAGACTGTTCATTCTCTTTAAATTATATTGCTCAGCTTTTCTATTTCCATGGCCATTTTTTTTTCTTTTGTGCACATGAGAAAGAGATGTTAATGACCATGTTATGTAAAGGTGCTAACATCATTAGTAATGAAATCCTTCCAAAGAGTTTTTTTTTTTTTTTTTTAAAAACAAAACAAGAACTTTATTCCACACCAAAAGAGGCACAAGGCCTTACAAGAGACGCCATAGGCCCAAAAGTGACCTATGGCTAGCAAAACCAAACATGGGCTTTCAAATCCTACAAAATCAAAGGGCTAAAAAAGCCTAAAGAACTAAGGGGCAAAGCCCTAACAAATTAAAAAGACAAGGGCCCAAACATGGCCTAAAAGAAACAACGGGCAAAAAGCCCTTCAAAATAAGAGCAAGCTGGTCCACCAAGATAGGTGGACCCCCCTTATGCCTCCATAGACCTTCAATATAGAAACAAGGGTCTCATCTCCCATGGCAGGATCAACCACTTGGCAGCTACAAAACTCCACTTTAAAAGCTTTGAATTGTAGCTGCAAGCATTCAGACAGATCCCTTCTCTCTTTTTTTTTTTTTTTTTTTTTTTTTTTTTTTTTTTTTTATGTTTTTCCCATTCAGATCAGTACATCTTATTATCCACCTCAAGGATCAGAGGTCCACCAAGTTAGGTGGACCCTCCTTATGTCTCCATAATCCTTGCAATCATAAGCATAAGAACCAACCAGACAGCTGGCTTCATTTCTCAGAGAAGGATCAGCCTGCTAGCAGTAGTTTCCTCCACCATTAAAGGCCTTGGAAAGCTCCTGCAACTGGAAGCAAAGCCACTCATCTCAAACAATCCCACTCAGCTTCAATCCTTTAGAAACTCTCTTCTTTTTTTCCCAATTTCAGAACTCAAGACCAGAGTTCTAAGACTGGTTTTCAAATTTTCTCACACACAGCTTCAATCAACATCTGTTTTTTGCACAGCCCCTGAGCTTATCCAGGTAAAGCTCTTTTGTCTTTTGCACCAGCTCCCCTTTTTTATTTCCAAATTCTTGTGGCCCCAACTCTTTCTTTATTTTTTCCATATAGGCATGAATCTCTTGCCTAGTCTCATCCCACACTTCTTTGTTTACTACAAAAGACTGAGCCATGGCAGATTTGGTGGCTGAACCCAAATCCTTGGGTCCAATTTCATCAACCTTTTGTTCAAAGATTACAGTTTTCCCCTCGTTTAAATCCCCCTTCACCTCCCCATCCTGACCGTTAGGCACAGAGCCATCTACCACTCCTTTTTCTGCTTGAACATTGCTCACCTTAGCATTTCCAGTTACTAAGCCCCCAACATTAGGTCTAATTCCCATATTTGTTCTATTCATTATAGGCTTGGAGATACCTTGGATGTTTCCGGGTTTCTTGACTTCTGCTCTAGGTATATGGCTCTGTTTAGGGACTTCTAGTTCCTTATCAGACAAAAGGCTTGAAACAACCCCTTTCCCTTTTCGTGAGGCAGCATTCATAGCCTCAGCTTCTCCCCTATCTTCATTCTGTTCAGCTACAGCCTTTGGGGCAATTTTACAAACAACTGGTGTGCTCTTTAACTCTCCATCAGATTTATCATCTGGAGCCTGAGACTCATTCTGCTTGGCATTTTGTCAAACACCACCTGGGCATTCTATCTCTTTGTTCCACCATCACAACCCTTCTCACCTCCCTAGCCCACCTCAGGCAGTTTATCATATTATGGCCAAAACGGCCACACTCCAAGCAATAAACCGACTTCTTCTCCACAACAACCTTTTGCCAGATTCCATTCGATTTACCCCCCCTTCTCCGCAAAGTTTATCCAAATTCCTCAGCTACAGGCTTAGAAGCATCAATTTCAACTCTGATTTTGGCAACACTCGGCCTAGTCCTCTTGACTGTCGCCATATCAAGTTCAACCACCCTTCCCAGTGGAGAGCAAATTTTTCCAAGCACTTCGGAATCAAACAAATGAATAGGGAGCAGAGGTAATTCGAGCCATACCAAAGTCAATGGACAGTCTCTGTTGAGTGAGTGCTCCGGGCTCCGGCGTCCATCTCGTTATCCAATAGTAGTCGGCCGGGAGACAACTGCGGAGGTTTGGACGTCGATCACGACGTCGCTCGGATCCTCCACGCAAGCTCGATGCCTCATCCTTCTTGGCCAATTCCAGTCGCCGAGGCAAGGAAATTCCTCCACCGCTGAATATCTGGGACGTGCGGAGGTGCTTGTGGAAGCTCTGGCTCAAGCCGGCCGGCCGCTCTCCTCATCCGAGCAGAACCTCTATGTGTTACGAGGCCTCCGTCAGTACCTTTGCATAATGGCGGCGTTGCTCACTGCCACCAACAACTCCATCTCACTCCCACAACTGGCCGACTTTCTCCAAGCACAGGAGTTCATCATCTCTGATGAATACTCCACAATCGGAAACGACAATAGAGGTCACCCTATGGCCATGTACGTGGGGCGCGGTCGAGGTCCGAACGGCGATGGTGGAAGAAACTCCGGCACTGGACAGCAATGGCGAGGCAGCCGTGGTGGAAATGGCCGCAACGGCCGTGGCAGAGGTGGCCGGAATGGTCGTGGCGCTCCGAGGTGTCAAATCTGTCGTGCCCAGGGACACACGGTGATCTATTGTTTTAAGCGTTATACAATGCAACCACCGACCGAAGCTCATGTTGCCACTGTCGGCGATCTCCCAGCGACGCCATCGGTTGTTTCAGTGGACGGGTGGTACCCCGACACTGGTGCCACCGCCCACGCCACGCCAGATGCAAGCATGATGTCTCGTTCGGACGAGTACTGTTACACCCCGTGTTACGACCCCTAAGATCAATTAAATCATTTAATCAATTACCCAAAAGAAAGAATTAAATCACAATAACTAATTAGGAGGCCCACCATAGTCCACGGACCCTTATCCCTAAACCCAATCCCTAGTCCCAAAAGAAATAGAATTAGCAAGCCCATAATATTAGTTCCTAACTAGGACTCCTAAATATATAAATAGGGGACTTAAGAGGCACCTAGAAACCCCCCACCACAATAAACGCCCACCACCCCAAAGAGCTCCAAGAATCCCCTAGAAGAAATCAAGAAAGCAAGAAAGCTTAAAGAAAGACCCTTCATAGCCAAGGAATTAAATAAAGGCTAAGAGGTAACCCATGTCTCAACAAAACCTATTTTCGTAGCTATGATTTCCCCCGTAGGATTTCCCCATATTATTGTGTATTAATGACTTGTGATGATTATGATTGATGATTGAGGTGATGATCCCATGGGGGATCTTGATAATCTTGATATTGGGAGATTCTTGACAATTATGATGTTCTTGATGATTATATGGAGTTCTTGATGATTATGTGTTGTTCTTGATAATTGTATGACGCCCTTGATGCTTATGTGTTATTCTTACCGAATCTTGCAATTAGAAGGCGAATCGTATTCTTGTTGATATAAAAGTGATTAGAACCCTAGGTTGTATCGTATGATGTTATTCTTGGGTTATCGGGTGGGGTAATCGCATGTTTGGGTGTTGATTATGTTTAGAAAAGCATGATAGGTTATGTGCCGTTCGTTTCTCGTATTTGATCCGTTAATTGTCTACGTGTTGTCGTTGATTGCGTTGCAAAGTGTCTAAGCATGGTTTCGGGTTCCACAATGGTTCCCGGGGCGAATTTGTGTGATAAGAGTCAGTGGGGGGTAGGTGGGGGGGGGGGTAGGGGACCCGCCACCTACCCACGGCCGGAATAGTGATCCCGGCAGCGGGCAGCTACCCGCCGGTGACTCGCTGCCCGGAATAGTAAATCCGGCGGGCAGCCGGCAGGTGGCCCCCACCCACCGGCTACCCACTGGAATTTTCCCCATCTTGGGTTCCCGGCTTCCCCGTTTGATGTTTCCCCGTCCCCCGTGGTGTCCCAATGGACTCCGTTAATCGTGCCTATGTCTAGTTGATATTTCGGGTACCGTTCGTAGGTTTATGAGTCTATTATATTGCATGCTAGTTGAATTGGTATCCCGTTGACCTAGGTGGAAGAAGCATGAACCCCTTAGGACTATTCTTAGTATGTGATGGATCACGCATAGGTTTGGTTTTACGTTTTCTCCCCCTTCCCAATGTGTTAATGTGGGTTGCATGTACTTGCTATGTGTTATGTGTGCATGTAACCCCGAGTTGGTTAAGATCAATCGGGCTATACGGGCAGTCGGGTGGGCTGAGAACCATACCGGCTGTTAACCAGGCTGGTAGAGACCGGTCAGGTATATAAATATTATATAGGACAAAGGTCCACTATACGGGCAGTTGAATGGGCTGAGAACCATCCCAACTATTAACCAGGCTGGTAAAGACCGGTCAGGTATATAAATATTATGTAGGACAAAGGTCCATCAGTTGGTTGCGATCGGCTCCTCCGTAATGTGAGACGGGGCAGGGTGCTGCGGGGCCGTGTCAGAGCTATATGCGCTGACCCTCATGTATGGGCATGCGATTGGTCCTGTGGCGCCAACAAAGTGTGTTATGTGATGAGATATGGAGGAGTTGTGTTTATGAGTATATTGGGGGATGTGACTAAGGGGTTTATGCTGGGGATTGTTTATGTTGGGTTGTGATTATTAATTGTGCTTATCTTTATCTGTCTTGCCTGTTGTGGATCATATACGCTGGTTACAACTGTTGCTTGTGTCTAGCCTTATCTGTCGAGTCATTCCCGGTTTTAAAAGCTAGAGTCTCGTAGGATATATCTTCATGCTTCGAAATGACTTTTCGTATATCTATATATATATCTCTATATGTAATGTATT